CCTCTTCAATTATTTCGTATTGCCGGATGTTACAGACCCCTTAGTGTCTTACAGTGAAGTTTGAGGGGGGGAGGATATCTTATCTCTACCTTTATAGAATATAGATAGGATATTCCGGATTGACTCTCAGCAATTCTCCTCTTTTATCCAAGCTTTGGAACGACTATACGAGTGAGCTCACACAGCCTGTCCAAGGATAAATCTAAAATTCCGACAATGTAAACGAGCCGTCCAAATTCATGTTTATTTTGCTCTTTCCAAGTTGTTTCATTTCCTTATTACGTAAAAAAATTCTTCTCATAAAGAAAGGAAGCATTAATTCTCGAATGCACAAAGACCTTGATAGTCAACTAATGTAACATGCATTGACTCTACCAATTACTACATTTGTTAAGGCCACAAAGGGAGACTAGTGAACAAGTTCTCACACTTAATTTCCCACTAACAAATTACTTTTTCTCATCAAGCTAAGCTTATATTCATATTCATATCTTCAAATGTGTCATTTTTGACAAATCAAAGAAGAATCTATCTGCTAGTAGGGGTAAAATGGTAAATTCACAATATCAATCATTGTTTTTTCAATAGGTGTGTCAAATCAAAATTTGACAACTAAAAAGGAATGAAAAGAATATTTTTTTCTCTTTCTAATAGTTGATTAACACTAACTATGACCAAATCATATTTACTATGATGCATCGCTAATAAAATCTCAAGCACCAACAACAATAACAGATGCAACGTAATTTCATAAGTGGAGTTTGAATAATAAAATTAAAGCAATTTAAATAAAATGAGTCAAAAAGCCTTGATAGTCAATTAATGCAACATACGTTGACTTTATCAAATACTTCTATGTACGTTGCCTTTACCAATTACTACATTTGTTAAGTATAGGGAGACTAGTAAAACAAGTCTTCACACTAATTTATATACCATTCAATCAATTTCCTCTCATTAACGAATTACTTTTTATCATCAAGTTCAAATTCAGATCTATTTTTTTGTTGGCTATATCTCTACTCGAACGTAGTCAACCAATTTCGTGACTTTATAGAAAAAAATGGGAGAAAACAATTGTTGGGAGAGACAAGTGGTGATTACTGAGCTAACGAAGGGGAAGGAATTTATGTTGCAATTGCAAAAGTACATTGATCCCATGAAACAAGATGTGTGCCTGCAGTATTTGGCTGCAGAAGTACTTTCTTCTTATGATAAAGCTCTGTCCCTTTTGAACGGCTCAACTTTATCAAGTATGATTAATATTAAAGCAGCCCCATCGACTGCACCCCGGCTGGAATCTCCTCAACTTCCGGCTGATAATAGCGCAAAGAGTTGTGATCGTCCCTCTATATCCAGGAAGAGGTATTTGATCTCGTCCCTTTTTTTTTTTGCTCTATAATCATCTGGTATCTGAAATCCACTTGTACTATATATATAGCCCTACTATAGAGAGTTTTCGTGATTCTTTAAAAAAGAGAGCTTCATTTTTAGGATTTTAATCAAAGATCTCTTATTAAGGGTGCAAGAAGAATCTTTATCATTGTACCACACCTCTCACTTGTAGCTAGGGATAGCAAATGGGCGGATTGAGAATGGATAGAGAAAATACAGGACACAACCCATGGGTTGACCCAAATTTTGAATGGGCGGGTTAATCAAATTTGGATAGAATTTGCCACCACTAGACTTATAGATGATTGGAGTACTAAATTTAGTATATATGGAAATGATATGTGCTAAAATTTCGATTTAAAACATTCAAGAGAGACGAATTGCTTTAAATCTTAGTGGTAAATCGGATGCTTTGCAAAGATCATAAGAGGCCCTTTGATTACTGTATAAGAGTCCATTTTATTCATGTATAAAATATTGTATTAGTTTTATTATGTTTGGTAAAAAAAAAAATTTATTAGGTAGAAAAGTCAACAAAACTCATACCATGTTTGGTTGGTAGGTTTCTAAAAGCTATATAAAAGTTATTGATATATTAATTTTATACGGTGTTTGATTGCGTTCTTTATAGTCCTACATAATTAATATTAACATAACTTATGAGCAATGCCGGCAAAATGAGCTCATATTTTAACGGGTTGAGTGAGTGATTTTTTACATGGGTAAAATATGGGTGGATACCTATATTCAACCCATAAAAATATGGGTAAACTATGGGTAAAATATGGAGTAGTCAAATGGATTAAACTTCTAACTTTTATTCACTATAAATTCATGATATCACTAAAAATATTGTAATTTCTCTTGATTTTTATGTTCTTCTATAGAACTAATTATTTTTCACTATAATTGAAAAGGTAAAGTCTTTGGCCCTCCAAAAATATATACTTTAAATGTACATTTCTTTTGTTATTTATAATTAAATTTTTTTATTTGTTTAATTTTATATTAGATAGTAAATACTTAGTGTAAAATAATCAAATCATGTATTGATATTAATATTGCTTAAAGTGCATTAAGCATGTTTTAGTCCTAAAATGCAAATATTCATTTACTTTGAAATTAAAAATATTTTCCCCTTATTATTACATAATTTTATTTTATATTGAAAAGTTATAGGTTTTTTTTTACTTTTATGATACAATAAAACTAAATGAAGCATTTTCAACATTTTTCATCTAAAAAAAGATTAAAATATTTTTTCCATGTTGAATTCTTAAGTAAAGTACTATCTACTCATGAAAATATGGGTAAATTAGTATTTTACCCAACCCATTTCTTACCCAATCCATTTTTACCCATATCAAATATGGGTGGGTTGAATTATTATCCATTTTATGTTTATCCATTTTCAACCCGCCCAAATTTTACCCAACCCGCCCATTTGCTACCACTACAGTTATGAGAAAATCTATGTATAAGTTATGCGGGTTAAAAGGTGGAATAAATTATACGAGTATTAGTTATAGATGTATTAAAATAGTAAATTACATATTTACCCCTATTAATTTATTTTTAATTTTTTTTTTTGGTTGAGAACTTAACCTGACTGACTATACTGCATTCCTAATTTTTGTTTTGTTTTTCTTTATAACATACGAACCAACCTTTATTTTTTGTTTACATTTGGATTCCAAATGTAAATATTTTATTAATATTACAAATTGGATGGTATATATTTTGACGGCGCATATGTTAATCATATATTAGCGTTATATATTATTAAATATATTTCACATATTTAATTAACATGTATTATTAT